ATAATATAATAGAAATGTCGTTTTTTGACTGAGTTTAACTTTAGTATTTTTTCATTCTTATTTCTAAATTCAAATATTTTTTGCTCCATTATTTACTAGTTTGTTGTCTTTAAAAAGAGATAAATTTAAATCCAGGCTGATCAAAATTCAAATTTGAGTTTTATATTTGGAAAAGAAGAAAATTTTTGCATCCCTCAAATTTTATTCTTTAAAGAAATATTATCTGCTAAATCGAGCAATAATTTATTTCATCTAAATCAGAAATCTTTGCAATTCTTCATGTAAACGAATAACGCTCCAATTTAATTTATTCTCTTCCCACACTCCAGTAAATATTAAACTGTGCTATGTATGCTATATTTGTGACCATTTGAGTCTACTGAAATTGAATATTTACTATTTGCATATTTATTAATCCCTATCATTTCTATTTATTATCACATAGACAACAAGAGAATAAGTTTGATGAAGAGGGAAAGGTGGCGAAAAGCAAGGGGAAAAAGTACCGATATATTTTAAGAGACGGTCAAATATTTCAATCACATTAACTGAGTGATTGACTCATTCTTCTCATATTTACATTTGGAATGCATGTTTTGCATCCGATAATATGCAATACCGGAAATAGAAAGGACAACTGATTTCTTGCAACAATACATGTTTTAATGTTGTCACAGTGATACAATCGAAATTCATTAAATGCATATTGGAAATGCTTTTAAATGTAATGATTCAGTTTGAAAAAGTTAAGTGCATCTTTACAGTTATTGTTATGCTATATCCATCCCTGTTATTGTTGCAAAACAGTTTTGGATGAAATGCATCGTTTATTTGACGCTGTCTAATTTGATTTAAAAGTTCTGATTAACTAGAATTGTAAATAGATTACAGGTGGAAGATTAAAAAAGGAAGAAAAAAGTAAAGAGCTGAAAGTATTCATCTTGGCCAAGAGCATTATTCAAAGTTAGTCAGACCATATCTTTCATTCACAGTTCTTGAAATTAATATTTTAGCTATCTTATTGCACCTCAATTGTTATTTCTGATAGTGTTGATGCTTCTTATTCTTCCCGAGACTGAAAAATGCCCAAAGAATGGTTATAGAGTGATTTTTTCTCGAGACACCTTTATTTGCTAAATAAAAATTAATATCTCAAAAATTATGCTAAATTTTTTCATAGGAATTAAAGTAATGTATTTTCAAATCAAAATATAAGTTTTATGTTAAACTTTTACAAAAATTCCATATTTTTATAAAATTATGTAGGACTTTTTTAAAAACAAATTTCCTAACAAATTGATGTTTAAACAAGTGATCCCATCAGAAACATCATCCTCTATCTTTTATACCACTCACTGATAGGAACTGACCACTAAATACTTTGGACTGTCCTCCAACTGTCCCAATAGCCTAGCAGTCAGTGATCATTTATCGTAACCCAAGAAGCGCTAGTGAATCAAAAATCCACTAGTATTTCACTTCCTGTCTTCTTTTCAGTCGTTAATTTCCCATTTCGCATTTCCTACAAATAGGTAAATTATGGTAATAATGATGGATAACCTTGAACAGGCGGTCATCGCTTGTTTGGCATATATTACCCATCCATCTAAATATTATATCCTCAACGATTAATAATTGTAAACATTGTCTGAGCACAACCAATTATATTTGATAAATACCAAAACACGGATAAAAATCACAGTAATTCAGAAGTTTAACTTTATGACACTAAATCAGACAATAAATTATAAGGAAAATATATTTTCGAGTCAAATATATTTTCGAATTTTTTTTTCACTCTCAGTTCCCTTTCAGTAGTATTTTAAGAGGCAAATCAAAATGGTCAATCGTTTGCAAAAGTTCCAAAATTAGTGCAGTTTTTCTCTCAATAAGAAAATGATGTAAACAGTGAAGCTTCGAGATAAGATGACTAATCTGTCAATAACAGCTAGTTTATTTGGGAAAATTTTTAAGCAATAATCTCTCTTTTCATTTGGAGACTTGAAAGTTAATTATTTTCTTCCCGTAAAATTTCGCTCAAATTTAAACCTGTCGTGTATTTTTTAGAAATATACCAATTTGCCGCAAATGAAATAAATTCCAACACACTCAATGAACATTTTTTGAACTTCGGCATCATTAATTATTTTAGATGAAATTAACACTTACCTTTTTTCTCAATTACATCCAAACTTACAAGTTTCAGCAATTTGCAATACACAGAAAATTCATTAATAAAACAAACTTTTTTCTTTTCCATTATTCTCCATCTTACCCATAAGTTTTTATTATTTTCTAGCAGAAAAGGTGCGTTAATTTTCTAACAATAAAATTCTTTTCAAAATTCCTAAAATTATCTTCAAACGAAAAAAAGGAAAAAAGAAAAATGGAGTCAAACACCTTTCAACATATATTTGCTGACAATCAGGCAACTTCGTTGCCTTTTTTTTAGAAGCAAAACTTCTGAATTTAACGAAGTCGAAAAAAGTAACCAAGCCAAGGTAATACAGATCGATATTAACAGTTTACATGTATAATCATACTTTCTCATGAAAGATAACTACGCCTGACGTAATTAAGTAGTTATTAAAAATGTATTTGCATGAATAAAAAAATTTGATCATTGCACACACAAAAGATATATTTTTGAAGTGCTTCATCAGTTTAGCACTCAGTCTCTGATATTATTAACCAACGTTTGAAGATTCTTGAAAAACGCTTAAAAATCTTAAAATTAATCGATAGCATTACTAAATAATTACTGAGATTATTTGTTAAAATTAATCGATTTCTCTAACATATTTTTTCAATGTAAAATATTTTTTATGTATGTTTCTCAGCAAAATTAACAGAATAGAATGAAATTTTATAAATCTAATAATTTTATTGCTCGAAATTTTTCTATTTTTGTTAACACTTACTGATGGAAAAATTCAAAAGATACTTAAAATCATGAAATAATGCAAATTTTACCATTTTTTCGCGCAAAAGCTCGAAATTCTTTTGTGTACTTCGGTTGGAATCAATATAATTATTATCACTGTTAACAGCTGTCCTCTTCTCTAATTCTGGCTTCTTTGTTGATAATATTGAGGTTTTTGATGCAACAGTTTTGGGGGCAGTAATAAGGGATGGACATAAGGAAGGATTGTTGTTACCTCCGCTATCACTTTCCGTAAAGTTTGATGTTACCGGTGCACATTTCCGGTTGATTTGGAGTCGTGAATCAGCGATTGATGAAGGTTGTGTCAGATTTGTTTCAGTTATGGAGGGTATAACATCCATGGAAAAAATTTCCGTCGATCTAAAACGAGCGTTGTCTGTCACTGACGGAGTGTTTGATTCGGAACAAAATGTGCTTGTTCCTAAACAGAAAGGGACTGTTTCTGATTTGACGGAAGAAAGCGCAATATTTTCAGAGCGTCTGGAAAATGCTATGCTGCCACCACCGTAAGATGATGGAACAATTTCCGATCCTCTTAGCATGAGATCGGAACCAGAGTTGACAAATTGATGAGGAATTTCCTCATCCAAATTACAAAAACTTTTCGTCTTTTTACAGCGTTCCAAACGTTTCAAACGATTGGCGCAAAATCGCCGATAATCCGCCAAATTATCGTCCATTTTTAGTTTTATCCTGCAATTTGGCAGCAGTATTGAAATTTCCATCAGTCATTATTTCTTGTACGAAAATCCGCGTTTGAAAAAAATGCATGTTGCGAAACGTTACAAAAAATAACAATCAACAAAAAAAGGCTATTTTTAGTATGAATAAGATGTTAAACTTCCCTAAAAACCATTTTTAATAATAATTTTAGAAATTGCAGAATTTGAATTTACTAAGAGAATAGAAAAGTTTCGATCAATTACTAATCTGTAGAAGTAAATACTCAAAGATAATGACAATATAATCAAAGTATTGATTGCATAAATAACAGCTATCGTTATTTCAGTTATAATTTTTTTTTTAAATTTTTAGTTTTAAATTTGCAAATATTTACCAAATATTTTGTTTTATATCGAACATTCTACAAAAGATAATTTAATTTTTTCATTGTAAATTTATATTATTTTTTTGGCGAACGATAGTAACTCGACAAGGTTGAATGAAAATATTGTTATTGCATAGTGAAAAAACTGGAATAATAGCATGAAAACAAAAAATTCTTGTTGAATCCAATTCTGTAAGCGCTGGAGCAATCGTATGTTTCTCATGTTTGTTCCAAACATTTTAGTTTGATGTAAAAAAATATATTTCAAAATATTCAATTCAAAATAATCATGGAAAAAATTTAATGAAACTTAAACGTGTGTGTGCTCTATCAATTCAACAACAACTACAGTACGCATTTATTGATTACTATCTTCGTTGGCATCATTTGTTGCAATATTTTGCAAATTGTTAATCTTATCATTAAGAAGTGTTAGATTACTTACAACAAAATTCACGGAAAATATGAAATCGGATAAGAGAGAAGAATTCGAGTAAATAACAGAAAGAACATTTAATATTTCAAATGATAATCGAAAATAAGTTAAATTCACTATTCCATTCATTTTTTAAATTTTCCCTCTAACAATAACTTGAATATCCCATACTATTTACTTTTTTTTCAATGCGATACTCAAAGACCGATTGCATCTTAAATATACATTGAGGACTTTTTTTATTCAATTACTTATTCAATTTCAAGAACCTAAGTCGAACAGATGAAAATTGAAATGGAAATCAACGAAATTACTATAAACTTGATATGGAATTTGCTTCACTTGTAGCTCACTAAATTCATTAAACTGTAGTAAAATGAAGGTTCAGGTAAATGCAATAAAAAAAAAGGTCAAAAATTAGATAGAAAAAGTTGAAGAAAAGAAGAGAAAATAGCAAAAAAGCACGGAATAACCGGTATAGAACAGGTTTGTAATTTCTTGAATTCTTGAGAAATAACGAGAACAAAATATAAAGTTGCTCAGAGTGAACAGTAAGAGATTTTCAATTATCTAAAATTTGAATTGTAAAAAAGAAAATTTAATTTGCCATTAATTGGAAATCTCAGCATTTGAGCATTATATTCCAACTTCACCGTTACTTTTTATCGTTTCTTCAACATAAACACTTTTAGCAATGTATTCATTTTATTTATATATGAAGCGAGTAAAATTCCATTTTATATTCCAATTTCATATCTTCTTTAATTCGTCTCTTCTAATTTCACTTTAAAATGGTTTCAAAAGTATTCATTGTGATTTTATGATCTGAAAATTTAACGTTACATAAATATAACAAACGAAGAATTTTAAGAAAAGCATAAATATAAAACAGTGCAACTGATGTGATTATATGACGTAATCTGGCAGTAAATTCTTTGAATAATTTAAATTGATATAAAATGAAATGCGCAACAATGAGCAGAAATATGTATATTTTCTGTTCAAAACAAGAACATGAAATTTAGACGATCTGATGACGACTGATATAATGCGAACAACAATGATAAATGTTATTTAATTCCTCTCATCCCCCATCCTACCTTTCATTTTCGTATCTTTTCATTATTTCACACCTACAAAAGCCTTCCACATACCAATTTACTTCCTTTAAAAATTGTACAAAATATTTTCATTCAGTGAAGAGTCAATCTGCTTTCATCTTCCAATAATTTTATCCATTCACTTATCACTGGTAACTAAAAGCTGATAAATTGCTTAATAATTATATAACTTAATTATTGTTTTCCGTGCAAAAAAAGGCCAAAGAATCATGAAGCGTTATCAGCATGTCATTATTATTTATTATCATTATCATTTATTATCATTATCATTTATTATCATTATTGTTATTATTATTATCATTATCATTATTATTGTCATTATTATCATTATTATCATTTTCATTATTATAATTATTACTATTGTTATTAT